TTCACAGACAGGAGTGCATGCCTGCTTCAGCACCGCAGAAACAACACGTAAAACTAACACTACCTCGTGTTGCAGAGCCTTCAACAGCGCCTGCTGGACCAATTGAAGCTCCCAAGAAGATTCCTCCACCAGTGCCGCTTCCCCTGCTTACCATCAGTCCAGACTCCGGTGGTAAGGAAACCAGATTGGCTGGCAAAGGTGAACCACCAACGCAGGCTTTACGACATAAGCGACGGCAACAACAGAAGACCAGTCTTCTACCTTCACGAGATGTATACGAAAACTGGGAATCGAACTTTCCTCCTTCTCTGCGGCGCTTCAACTCTTCTAGCAAATACCAGACCGATCTTTCAGACCCAAGTAACAGTGACCCACCTTCATGTACGAACACTGCTCCTGTACTGGTACCTCACAAGCACGTACATGCCACATTGCGAGCGAAGGAACCGCTGGCTAGTATCCATCAGGTTAGCAAGAAATCGAACTCTACGGCTTCGTCAGCGATTTGTAGTGGGATTTCAAGTTCACCAGGAGGCAACCAATGCAATAAAGACGAACTGAGAGAAGAGCAAGAAAGTGGCGAAGACGACGACGCAAGTTGGACACTCGGCTACGACGACCCAGATGTGGCCGCGAAAAGTATGGCAGGCCTCATCCAGGCGCTCTCAACCTTTGCAGCAGGTGGCAAACATTCGAAAGGGTTAAAAGGTGGAAAGAGCAAGAAGCGGCGTGCAAAGTTGCCACAACAGCAGCAAAAGGCGCAGCTCCTGCAACGACAAATATTACTACAGACCCCCCAATCGCGAAGGCCTCCACCGCTTGAAGATAACTATGACAAGTCGAGCCAATTTCACATCAATCGAAGGCAACAAGAACCAGGCAAAGCTACGAGGAGACGGAAGCATCGAAGAGTTCGCAACAGACACTCAAATGATGAAACAAAGTTGTAAGGGTTCGCGTTTTGTCTTGGTTCTGAATGAGAACGAGTTCACTCGTGCACGGAATTTGTCAGACATTTTGTGATGTTCCTGCTGGTCTTGCTGCGACCTCTTTCGAGCCAATTCGCACTTGAATTTTATCAGGTATACATTGGATGTCGGGCATGCCATTCAGCAGTTAGGTCCGTGTGTACTTGCTTCCCAGATTTTGGCGAAGAAATGTGTGCTGCCAACCTGAGTCTAACTGGAGTGGAGCGGGTGGACCGAGCTTAGATCGAATGCTCGGCAGGGGAGTTGTGAACGACCCCCACTTTTGCTAATTTGGAGAGCGCTTGTGCTAATTTGGAATGTGCACTGTGTGCTCTTTTCAGATTTGGTCTTTGTGATTTGGCTGTTTGGTCATCGCTTCAACACAGCTGAAGTCATAGCGAACATTCTTGGTCCTCAACCGGTTCTCGCAGTAGCAGGCAACGCAACAAGTGTTGCAGCTGTGGTATGAACCG